GCGCTCCGAGGCGGAGACGCGGCCACTGCAGCCGGCGCACAAGAGCCCCCTGCCTCCCGGAGCCTGCACTGCCGCCGAGGAGGGCCGAAAGAAGCCACCCCGGCCCTCCCCAAAAGGCGGGCCCCCTCCGCGCCCGGTGCGCCCAGGGCGCACGGGGGTCCCCTTGGAGAGGTCTCGCCTTGTGCGCCCAGGGCGCACGCCCTCGGATGGAGAGGCTTACCTTGGCGCGCCGCGGCCAGCCCCAAAAGGTGGACCTCGGCTGTCCTCCTCTCCGGGGGCGTCTCCCCCCCTCCAGGCCTTCCAGGCTCCCCCCTCCTCCGCCCGCGCAAGGCGATCCTGAGCCACGCGAGGCGGCGGCGGCGGATGGCTTCTCCCGAGCGCACGAGGGGTGGTGGGGCTCTCCAAGAGGGAGGAGCTGCTGCCGGGGCCCCCAAGTGGAGAGGCGCCTAGAAGCGAGGGCGCAGCCTCCAGCGTGCGATCCTAACGCAAGGGGGGGGCTAAGGGAGCAACGCGTCCTCCCAACAGCGCACCTCTCTGGATGCGCGCGTCACGTCCGATGCTTTTGCGACGCCCTCCCCCCGGAGGAGAGACCCTTGTGGATTGGCTCCCTGCAAGAAGCCACAACCTAGCATTTGCAAGACCTGAGTTGCTAAGGGCAGACCTTTCTAGAGATCCTTAATTGCCATAAGTTAGAAATGGCTTTATGGTATATGTATAGCAACAACGTGCCGGGTCTCACCCACTCATTTTCCACATACAACTGGAGATGTAGACATTTTTTATTTTATTTTTTTTGGTGTGGAAAGCAGCCGTGTTCATCCATTTGCTCTGTTCAATGGTAAGTAACGAAATCTGGAAGCATCAGGATTGTTCTATCAGTTCCTGCACCACACACGTTACTGTATTTCCCCCTACAAATTGTTTTGTGTCAAGGTGCTCATTAAAAAGAAAAAAACAATATGTGGTGATACATGTGACAAAAGAAACAGAAAACAATAACCAAAGTCTGGCGTGGCACATTTACCAGTTATTTCCCATTGCAAAGTTGCAAAAAAAAAAAAAAGTCAGACAGTCACGCATCTTCAGCCCATTACAACTAGCTTCTCATTCAGCCTCCAAATCAAGCTGCATTGACAATCCCTCAACCAATCAGAAAACAGAAGCACGCTAAGCGCAAGGTACAGCGATGAAGAAAACCACATGCTATGATTGAGAGATCTCGTCGCCGACTAAGGGTACAATTCTTTCTTTTTAAAACATTCTCTAAGCTGTCTTAGTTAAAAGGAGGAACTCAGTACTGGCTTAGCTGAACCCACGGATGACAACAGCACACTAAAACGTGGGGCGAGGGAATTATAGTACACACCACATTTAACTGCAGACTTTCTAGCTTAAAATATATGTTTTGCTGTCCGGGTATCTTTCTCCATTTCCTGAAGTGCTTTTCACCACCGACCGATAAAGCGTTCTGCCTAACTCAAAAGCTGGCACTCCACTGGAGAAACATCACTGGCCAAACAGCGATATTCGGGGTGTCGGTTGTGTTCAAACATATCAACCCATCTACCTTTCTCTTTTTTTGCTTAAGGGGTGCTTAAGGGGTCCAGAGACACCATGAATACAATTTTCTCTCTCCTCTGTTCATATGGAGGGTAATTTTAAGATGCCAACGTTGCCTGCCAGAAGCAAGAAATATATGCTCTGTATTGTAAGATATGCCCCCAGCCGCCCCATTAACAAAGGCGGAAAGATTTCTCAAATTGGCAGGCGTTCTTGGAAAATTACAAAAAAAAAAAAAAGTCAGACAGTCACGCATCTTCAGCCCATTACAACTAGCTTCTCATTCAGCCTCCAAATCAAGCTGCATTGACAATCCCTCAACCAATCAGAAAACAGAAGCACGCTAAGCGCAAGGTACAGCGATGAAGAAAACCACATGCTATGATTGAGAGATCTCGTCGCCGACTAAGGGTACAATTCTTTCTTTTTAAAACATTCTCTAAGCTGTCTTAGTTAAAAGGAGGAGCTCAGTACTGGCTTAGCTGAACCCACGGATGACAACAGCACACTAAAACGTGGGGCGAGGGAATTATAGTACACACCACATTTAACTGCAGACTTTCTAGCTTAAAATATATGTTTTGCTGTCCAGGTATCTTTCTCCATTTCCTGAAGTGCTTTTCACCACCGACTGATAAAGCGTTCTGCCCAACTCAAAAGCTGGCACTCCACCGGAGAAACGTCACTGGCCAAACAGTGACATTCGGGGTGTCGGTTGTGTTCGAACATATCAACCTGTCTACCTTTTTTTTTTTTGCTTAAGGCCTGCCTAAACATCCATGTTTTTAATTGGTTTTTGAAACTATCCAGCGAGGGAGCCGTGCGAATCTCCGGAGGCAGATTGTTCCAGAGGCGAGGAGCCACGGCCGAGAAGGCCCGGTTTCTTGTTGAGTAGCACTGCTAAACCACATATGAATACTCTATACCTAGTTGTGCGTAAGGAAATCAGCTCGTTGCCTGAATCTATCAAGGTGCATAAATTGTTAATAACACCATCTGCATGGCATACGGCAGGGTGTGGGATACCAATTTCAAGAAAGATGGGAATCCCCTTGTCATTGATTTCTAACTTCGCACATGAATGGAGGAAACGGAAGGCCTTGTCTGGAGATTCTGTTGAGGGCTTTATCTGGTGCCAGCATGGACGCTTACCAGAAGGGGGAGCCATTGCTCTGCTCTCTGCTGCCACCTTTGAAGCTGGCCAGTCTGAGGTACTGCAGTCGATTTCGATTTAATCCAGGAGTTCCCTGCTTTGGATCCCCAGATGTACTTAAGACTACATCTGCCAGAAATCCTGTTCAGCACAGCTGATAGTGGATGCTTCTGGAAGCTTTAGTCGAAGAACATTTTGGGACTCAAGGTTGGGAAATTACTGTATTGCTGTTTGTAATACACCCACACCCAGCTCTCATACTGGTTAAAGAGTGGGGAAAACCCTAATTCTAATCCTCACTGGTCCATGAATTTGGTTGGGAGACTCCGGGCCTCAATAACAATCCAAGATTTCCACTTTAAATCAAAAAGGATGTCAGTTTTTTAAAAAAAAAAAATTAAAGGCTCACCTCTTCAAATCAAAAAGCAATTAATGCTTACCCTGTTTCCCCAAAAAGAAGATCTAACCTGAAAATAAGCCCTAGTATGATTTTTCAGGATGCTCATAATATAAGCCCTACCCCAAAAATAAGCTCCAGTTCAGTGATACCCTGCTCTCTACCCCCTTGCACAGCAACCAGAAGAGGACAGGACTGTATTTGAATAAATGCAGATTAAAAAATGCAACATCCCCTGAAAATCAGCCCTAATGCATTTTTAGAGCAAAAATTGATCGAGTTCGGGGTCTTGTTTTCAGGGAAACACAGTAAGAGAAAGGCTGGCTTTTAGAGAACAAATAGGTACAGATCTCCTTCCAATATACACTGGCCATGAAAGGCTTGTAAAACATAACTAAGATTTAGCACCTTTGATAGATTTTGGAGGGAAAGGGTGCCTTAATCATAATACCTTTGAACTGCAGAGCCGGAAGGGAACCTGTGGGTCATCCCCTGTCTTGTTTTCAGGGAAACACAGTAAGAGAAAGGCTGGCTTTTAGAGAACAAATAGGTACAGATCTCCTTCCAATATACACTGGCCATGAAAGGCTTGTAAAACATAACTAAGATTTAGCACCTTTGATAGATTTTGGAGGAAAAGGGTGCCTTAATCATGATACCTTTGAACTGCAGAGCCAGAAGGGAACCCGGGGGTCATCCAGTCCAGCCCCCATCAAGGAGGCACCGTGGAGGAATCAAACACACAGCCTCTGGCTACGTAGCTAGAGAACTCAACCCCCTGAGCGAGCCTTTTCTCAAGGGCATCAGGACCCGGTCCGCCATGCAGGATATGGAGTTCAAAGACACTCATTGCACAGCTGGTCATGACCAAGTAAAGGCAGGATAACCGGACTGGGAGCACGGAGCCAGATCAAGGCACTGAGATGCAGGAGGCCAGCAAAAGCAGGAACTGGACCACTGGGACTCTGGAGCAGCACAGCAGAAGACATCTGGTGATGAGACCAGTTCTGGGAGGGAGAACCGCTCCTTAAATAGGCCTTCCCTCCAGGTTTCCAGGTGAGCCTCATGAGTGGCCCAGCAGCTGCCACCCAGGCCAGGGTCCGATCCTGCAAACACCCGGCCATTCCTGAGTCAAGCTGGCCCCGATCCTGCAGCTATGGGCCAGATTATGACAACTGGAGGCCTTCAAGAGATCATTGGACCACCCCCTGTCCGATCGGGGATGCGGTGGCACGGCAGGTTAAACCGCAGAAGCCTCTGGGCTGCAAGGTCGGAAGACCAGCCGTCGGAAGATCGAATCCACGGGACGGAGGGAGCTCCCGTCACTTGTCCCAGCTCCTGCCAACCTAGCCGTTCAGAAGCATGTAAAAATGCGAGTAGATAATAGGGACCACCTCGGTGGGAAGGTCACGGCGTTCCGTGTCTAGTTGCGCTGGCCACATGACCACGGAAATGGTCTTCGGACAAAACGCTGGCTCTGTGACTTGGAAATGGGGATGAGCACTGTGCCCTAGAGTCGGACACAACTGGACTCAATGTCAAGGGGAACCTTTACCTTTACCTGTCCGATCTGCTTTGGCTTGGATTCCTGGCTTGAGCAGAGGGTTGGATTCGATGGCTTCCCATCTTCTTTATTCTATGAACCACCATGCTACATTCTGGCTCTCCTCATCTGATGCCTCTATAGATATATGGAAAGGAGCAAGCGTCAGACCCAATTCCTAGATACTGTATATATAAAGGCCCCAGATGAGATACCTAAAACCTGCCTCAAAAGGGCAGGTGAGAAGCGGTAGCATGTATGCTGTTATTTATATATTAGGGATCATAAATATTTACGCACCAGAGCAATAAAACTGGTAACTGGTTTTCCCTAACAGAATGCTCACGGCTCATCAGATACTAACAGCTGTTGGCGAAAATAGGGTTTATAAACTGTTCAGAAATTCCTTCACAGTAATTTGCACTCCGTGGATTGGGGAGCCGGGGAAAGGGTTGGGGGAGGCCTCCGGGGTTTGAGATCTTAATCCCGAGCCCAGCTCAGCCGGTTTGCTTCCTCCTGCAAGAGCGACCATGGGGTTGGAGAGTCGCAGCAGGCCGACCCTACTCCAATGAAGCCCCTTTGGGTGGGCAAATGCACAATAGGCCAGGGGTGCAAGGTAGACGTTTGGCAGAATTTTTCTAGGGGATGTGGCAGACTTTGCTTGGCTGGTTTGGCCTGTCAAAAATTTGGAGTTCTCTGTTCTGATTAGGCCTGAGAATTGACTAGTAGACAAACCAGTCATTTCCTTCCTTCCTTCCTTCCTTTTCTATTTTCATTCCATCCATCCATCCATCCATCCATCCATCCATCCATCCATCCATCCATCCATCCATCATCAACTCCTTCCTTCCTTTTCTATTTCTCTTCCTTCCTTCCTTCCTTTTCTATTTTTCATTCCATCCATCCATCCATCCATCCATCCATCCATCCATCCATCCATCATTAGATCCGTCCGTCCGTCCGTCCGTC